CAGGAATTGGGTGATATTGACAATACGGTGATCATTTATTGAGCATCCAATTTGGGCTGGGACCATTACCCCTAATCCTTTCTATAACCCTGCAAGATAGGCATGGCCTCCACTTACAGATGAAGACACTGAAGCTCAGAGGGGGCAAGTGACTGACCCAAGGCCACACAGCTAATGGGCTGGGACTCAAACTCAGATTTATCTGGCTCCAAAGTCCATGCTCCTTTTTATTGCACCAGACTCCTCTCCAGTGAAGAAGGGATTGCTTGGGATATATGATAAAAGAAAAATATTCAGAGCAGAGAACAGTGTTTAGGTGTGGGACAGAGCTTCATTCAGATACAGGAGAGAGGCAGTTAGCAGTGTCTAATCCTACAGGGGTTTAGTAGGGTCCTTACATTCCACAATGAGGAGATCACCGGTGGACTTTGAGGGAGTGTTGGGGATAAAAGACAGATTCCAGAGGGTTCCAGTGGCGTGAACAGGAAGTGAGGGAGTGGAGGCACCCAGCATAGAGAATTCTTCCCAGTGCTGGCAGTGAGGAGAAGAAAGAAATTAGGAGCTGAACAGAGAAGCAGAGTTGAGGAAAGTTGTTTTGTTTTGTTTTGTTTTTCCTTTTTCCTTTTCTGGGGAATAGGGAAAATTGAAGCCAGATAGTAGGTTCTGTTTGAAATGGGAGATGAGGGATAGGACTTGCCCCCAACCCCCCAGGGAGGTTCTCTTTTGGGTGAAAACACTGGAGAATGGTAGATAATCACATGGTCACAATACCCCACAAGGAAGGGAGGGACTGCTCACCTCATCGCAGACCCCTCTGTGACCTTGGTAAGATCCCAAGGAAGTGAAGGTCACTTTTTCCTGGGTCAGCAGCCCAAGCAATATTTTGACCTTGAGAAGTTCCAACATTGAAGGCATACTCTTGGCAGCCACATTACCAGATCTTGCAAGATGAGAGCAGTCAGAGGGATAAACATTGGGGGGTTAAGATTCCAAACCACGTCATTCTGCCTGGTTTGTGCTCCACAGACACTTTCCGAGTCACCCTCTCACGTATGATAGGGTTCTTTCCATAGCAAGCATTTATCTTCGTGGAGAGACAATGGTGGTCTCAGTGCCACTGGGCAGTCTCAGGAGGCCCATATGGGTTGCTGAGGACCGGGGATCAGGGTGTCCGAGGTGCTCTGAGGCCAGGCAGGGGGCCATAGGTGCCAGAGATTCCCCAGTGGCCTCTTGAAGCCCTCCTATGCTATTTTGCACAAAACAGGGGCTAAGATGCAGAGTCCGTAAGCATGGTGCATGAAATGTGGGAGGAGTCCAAGGCCTCTTCAGTTCAGCAAGTGGCCACTACAACTCAAGTGCGGGCGGAAGAAAAGTTGTAAGGAACCCCTGAGTGGCGTGTGTGCCTGGCCTTTGTTGACCCGCATCTCCTCCAGCTGACTTTCCAGGTGTCCCCATCCACACCTTCCTCCTGTAAGTTCCAGCCGTGCTGAAACTCGCAATGCTGACCTAATTCTGCCTGGGCTTGCCCACCTCTGAGCTTTAGCCAAAAGCCCAACTCACCTTCATTGTGTTCCCTGACAACACCGGTTCCTACAGCACCATCTTTCAAGGTGGGATCACTTGTCCCCTCACCTGTGCTCCTGAGAACTCAGATAAGACCGTCTGTGACAGCCCTTTGGATGGATTTGTTTCCCCCTCCAGACCACGAGCATCTCAGACAAGGATGGTGGCTTATGCCAATCGGATTTCCATCACCCGGTCTGGTAGCTGGTGCACAGGTGCTCAGAAGGAACCCTTTTGAATGAGGCAAACTTCACAGTTTGAAAGGAACTGTGTGTATTTCTTGAGAAACAAAGGATGGATTGTTAGATTAACTCAGTGGCCAAACCGGAGTAACCTAAACTCTCCCCGACTCTCCCGGGTCCCGCGTCACCTACCTTCAGAACATCTCCAGCGTGAAAGCTCAGTTCATCCTCTCCTGAGGCCATGAAATCAAACTTGGCAACGGCTTCCATGTTGTAACGTGAAGCTGGAAGGGAAATAATGTGGTCATTGTGCCTTTCTGCCAGGAGGAGGGCAGTCTTAGCAGTTGGTGGAGAGGGTCCAAGGTCTCCAGGCCAGAGAGGAAGGCGTAGGCACACAGTGAGGGCTTTTGTTTTTAGAAAGAGCTGCACGAGCTGCTAGGATCCACTTCCCGGCATCATTCTCTGAATCCCCAGATGCCAGGAGCAGGAAATGAAGGCCAGCAACCGCCTTTCCCCTTCTCCTTTCATCCCCATTTGCTGTCCTGGCCTGTAAGCATTTCTGGGGCATCTCTGTTTCCGGTTGATAAGGACAGAAGACTTGCCATCATCTCTAACTTGAGGCCTGGGGGCCTGGAAAGACTGTTCTGTAAACACTGTCCCGAGGCCGTCCCTCGACAGCTATATTTAGCCAGGCGGTGTTAATTAGACAGATGCCATTTTCTCTTTTACATCTGAATCATTTAAGAGAATTAGACAGCATTGGTCAGTGGGGAACTTAGCGGCCTTCTACATGGTTTGAGAGTGGAAAGCATTCTGGTTTTAGAATTGGCAGACTAAATTAGTCAGATTCCTTATTTTATTATTATTGTGTAAGCCAAGTACATTTTGGAAATTTGCCTTTTAATACCTCTGGATTGAGTTAAAACATTGGCTCCTCCTAGTAACACATGAGACCTGTGTAAAGATAAATAAGTCAGCCCAAAAATGAAATATGGTTAGGTTTTTTTAGGAGGCAGTGGGGTTGTAATAGAAAGAGAGCAGAGTCCTGGTTGTGTCCGTGAACAGCTGTGTGATCTGTGCGAGTACTAAACCTCTTGGAGCCTCAGTTTCCTCGTTCGTAGAATGGGAATCATAATGTTCAACGAATAAGGATGTAAGATGAGATTAAAGAATAGATGCAAAATGTTATACAAGATAAAGTTGAGTAGCATAGCATTTATGTTTTAGAATAACGTTATGGAATGAATTTAGCCTCAGCAAAGGCAGCCTAGCCAAAAGCCACAAAAATTTTCTTCTGATTTCTCCCACCTCCTCTAAACTTTTCTCATTGAAATTTGAGGCGTGGGCTTCCCTGGTGGCGCAGTGGTTGAGAATCTGCCTGCCAATGCAGGGGACACGGGTTCGAGCCCTGGTCTGTGAAGATCCCACATGCCGCAGAGCAATTAGGCCCGTGAGCCACAATTACTGAGCCTGCGACAGTGAGAGGCCCGTGCACCGCGATGAAGAGTGGCCCTGCTCACCGCAACTAGAGAAAGCCCTCGCACAGAAACGAAGACCCAATGCAGCCAAAAATAAATAAATTAATTAATTAAAAGAAAAAAAAAAGAAATTTGAGGCTTATTCCCTATGACGCTCAAGTTCTTTGGTTCTCTGCTAACTGTCAAGGACACTGTCTTGAGAGCTATTGTTTGGCATTTATGTTTTGCAAAATTTGCTTAAGTCTGAAACACTGTAGGTTAGAAACCCTCAAACCTAACTGACTTTCAGTGACCAGGAAACTGGGACCACAATTATCCTCTCAGTGGGAATTTCTGCCCAAGTGACGAGATTTAGGTAAATAAGGAAGGTGGCTGCCCGTGGGAGGGGGCGGCACCAGGAGATCAGGGGATTAAAGCGGACAGCAACCCTGGTGATAGCAAGGGGCGCCTTCCTCTGATTCTCCACATTTGCTTGGTCTTCCAAAGGCAATTTATAGAGGTGAGTATTACCAATCCCAAAGATAGATATTAAGCAAAAAATATTTCAGGATCCAAAGGAAAATGTCATAGCTCACTGTCTGAGCTTTATCACCAGCCAAAACTTATTTCCAAACCCAAAATGTATACACTTGTGGTGCACTTTCTTCAAGATCTGTCCGTCTAAGGCAAATTAAAATTTTTGTGACCTAGGATGACCCACTCAACAGGAAGAAGTATTCTGTCCTCCTGAGTGAAATCTAAATGCCTTTGCTGATTTGATTCACCCCGTTACTTTAACATGCAAAGCTTTCCCTAATTAAGGCCTTGCCTCTGGTGTGCAGGAAGATGGGCTTCTGTGGGTCACCCACATGGTATCAGCAGCAGACACTGGTCACATCAAGAGATCAAGTGTCAGGTGAATAGTCCTAAAAACCAAGATCCCATTTCTATGCAAATTTACCTTAATAAGCAGGATGGAGACAAGGGGAGGGCAAATGCTAAACATATTAGAAAGTCACATACATTAGAGATGGAAAAAAATATCCAATGCATGCTCTAGATATGGCCTTGAGCTTGGGGAGATCTTTCCTACATTACATGTAACTCCAGGCTGGCTGTAAGTCATTCAGTGAGAAGGCTGAGGCGGAAATAAAATTGCTTCTGAATGGTGGCACTTTTCTCTGCCTTCCCCCAGGAAGCAGGTGGTGTGGCAAAGCCAACAACAGAGGCACATCATAGAGCTCCCCAGCTTGTAATATTAATCCTGGCTCAGAAAACCCAATTAAACAGGCCCACTCTACATGAAATCACTTTGAAAAAATCTGTTTGCGTCCCATTTCCGTTTGTGAAATGAAATCTGTTCAGATGCTGTTTGGTGGGAGGGAGATGCTCAGGGTGGAGTGGGGGATGTTCTGTTTTCATTCAAATCACCGGGCTCTGCAAGTTCTTCCCTTGAATTTATCATTCTCTGCTTCCCTAATAGCGGAGAACGGTAAATGTGCCAGCCCCAGGGGTTGGTCTTCTGTTTGATCATAAAAATGCGTGGAAAGTTATACCCTATTCCTTTATATCCATTAGTTTTAATTTTGAAAAGTTAAAAATTCCCACCAGGGAAAAAAGAAAATGGAACTAACATAGTTTATTCAGTACTTATCCATTTTGTTTGGTAATCTGTACCTACCACCACTGCATACTGCAACTGGAAAAAGAAAACAAATAAATGATGGAGATAAAACATGGTAGCAACAATTCCCAGAGAGAAGAGTGGGGAGAGAGAGAGAGAGAGAGAGAGAGAGAAAGGGCAGCAGTCTCAGGAACTCAGGAGTGTGGTGGAGGCTTCTTGCTGCTGTTTGCAGTTACGATGCTGCTGACCTCAGGGGAAGATGAAGACAGATGCCTCTTCAGAGAGCCTCGCAGATGGGTTAAATGCGCTTTCCCTTCCAGGGATCAGCTTTAGAAATGGCTGCAATGCTACCTGCCATAGAGCGTGAATGAGAAGTGACAGCATCCAGGTACCAGGCCCCTGCCAGCCGCCTCCCCCCTCATCCTGGCCTCAGGGATGGTGCCATTTGTTCAGGAATCCCGCCTCCGAGCCGTGCAGGGCTCCTGGCTCTGCTTCTCACCAGCCCTCTGCACCTCTCTCACTCTCCTGCTTTACAGAAGGCACGGAATACCCATCAGCAGCCCCGAGACACAGACCACCACTGGACAACACCACACAGGACATCCTCAGCACGATTTTCTCTGCCCTGGCCTTTCCATTTAAGCTTCTTGTACGGCCAAAAACCCTGAAAAATAGTCAGGCTATATACCAGGAATGCTTATGTACTTCTAAAATATAAGTCACCATGGAGGATGAAAACAAAAGCTAGGAGACAGCTCTTTAAAAGAGCCTCCATTTGAAAGCCAGAGTCAGGGGATATGTTCAGAAGGAACGCAGAGTTAACATCAAAATGGTACCAGGCAAGCAACTTCTTGAACGATCTCAGTTCCTCCTAATTTGGCTATGAATAGTGAAGATTTCCGTTTTATTTGTCTCTGGAAAAGAGCGATTGCATAACAGCACGGAGCTGTTCCGAAGATTCCGGCTCAGGACCCAGGGAAAGAAGGAGCCAGGTCCTAAACTGAATCGCGACAACACTTCCTGTTTTGCTGGGGAGAGCCCTAATTTGAATATTATATGACTTGCCCCAGTTTCTGTTGTCAGGTGGTTAAGATGATGTCTTGAAAAAAGAAGAGAAACTGCTCTTGATAAGTATTTCTTATAGCCTATTTATCAGAACACGAGCAACATAATTTGTATTGATTTATGGACTGATAGAATAGCGAGGAGTTTACATTTTAGGACTTTGGCTGCACTGACCAAGAGGAGCTTAGCTAAAAATGTAAAATTATACCAGCTCTCTAGGTTCACATAATGCGCATGCTTGGAAAACACACCCTTTCATCTGCCCGGCAAAGCCCCTCTTGGAGACCGTGGGAAGGCAGTGCCTCCTCCGCTGAATTGACAAGGTCAGCTCAGTGACTTTTCAGAAGTGCAAAACCTCACAGCGCCAGGAAAAAATGATGATAGCTAAACCTCACTGTACACAATAGATCCGTTCTTGGAGAGTTATTATGAAGAGAGTATTTGCAAATGGAATCATATTAGCCTGCATTATGGAGGCTCATTCTACAAAGGAACCCCGTGGTGAATCCCTTTACAAAATGGAAAGGAAATTTGTTATGCAAATAGCTATCTTTTAATTGATCTGTTTGAAAGGCTGGGTTTTCGTGCATCGAGTCTTAAAACGGAGTGCACCTGTGTATCCCTTCTACCACCTCTCACCGTGGGTTAAATATTAGTTCCCCCTTTTCTTAACCCCCAAATGCTTTCTAAAATCCTCTTCTACTGATATATAACATCACCCCTCGGAATATAGAGTAGGAGTTCTGTAAAGGGCCAGAAAGAAAGGGTTTTCGGCTCCGCGAGCTGTACAGTCTCTGCCATGACCGCACATCCGTGCCGTATTCCAGAAGCCAGCCTGAGAGAACATTAAGTGAACAGGCGGAGCTGGGTTCTGATACAATTTTATTTATGCTCACTGAAACTTGAATTTCATATAATTTTTACATGCCACAAGATATTATTATTCTGATTTCCCCCCACCATTCAAAAAAAGTAATAACCATCTTAGCTTGTGGCCAAAAATATGTGATGAGTCAGATTTGACCTACTGGCTGTAGTTTACAGACTCCTGGTATAGACGTTTTTATCAATATCCTATCTATCTCCCCTGATAGTCTGCAAACTTCTTGGGGTCTTAGGAGTAGCTGGACCTGGATTTGAACCTCAGAGGTGGCATTTACTTCCCAAGTATC